ACTTCTGGGGTTTTCCTTGCTCTAGATCCAAAGAAAAGCAAAAAAGGTTAAACAAATAATGATGGTAATGAATCAAGTTTGCAATTGAAAACTAACTGAATACATATATTTTATATATATACATGGGGTCCTGTAGCCGCTATAATATTTTAGTTAGCTCCTTATCTTACTATTTGATCAAGAGATAAAGTAGAACATTTACTGCAAGCTATTGGCGGTATCCTAGTGGTGAGGTTAACTGTGCAGAATGATGGATAACAATATGTTAGGTCCATGGTTTGAAACCCTCTCGTTTAACAAAAGAAAAAGGTAGAGATTTGAGTGTGAGATCGTTTCATATATAGTTATTCTATCTATAGATAATTCTCTATAAATTCTTCTTAATGAATCACTCTTTTCTGAAGAATATATATATATATATATATATATATATATCCGGGAAAATTATATTCTTAGTAAAATTTTCAAACAAATTTTGGCTTTGGAAGTTGAAATGAGTTAACCTATACTTTAAAGTGCTAATTCAAGTCAAAAGAATGTGATATATCATGCTAATCAAAGTCATTTACATATGCACACAGGTTTCAGCATCCACAGTGCTACAGGAAACGTGCAACTACATTAGAAATTTGCACAGAGAGGTGGACGATCTAAGTGAGCGGCTGTCCGAGTTATTGGCAACAACTGACACTGCCCAAGCTGCTGTAATCAGGAGCTTACTTTCGCAGTAGAAGGAATTGATTAAGGGCACTATGATTAATTCACCAGTAGAGTATCGTCATCACCAGTTTATGTAATAGGCATCGTTGATCTGGTCCTTAGCTATCGTTCTAGGGGTTTTGTTCAGAAGGTTTATAAACTATGATGGTCTAGAGAATCCTTTTGCTAAGTTATAGTAATGTGTTATGGAGTTGATATAATAAATGGACTTGATCAGTCTTCTTATTTAGAGTCTCATCTTTTAGTTCATGTGGATATTACTTGGCATGCATGCTCCCCGTTCGTTCAACAATTAAGCTAAAAATAAGTAGCATTTGGAATCGAACTAAGTAATTGATAAAAACATAAGCTAATTCGTTTGGAATATATTCTGAAGGAAAATGATTTATGCACCATTTTTCTCCTTTTATGTATTCTGTTTATTTATTTCATTTGATTCTCCTTTACTTTATACCCAGTCAAAAAACTGAATTAAACATGTTTGTGGATGACAATCGTTTCCCTAGCTTGAACTCTTCCAGTATATGAAAAATGTTATGCAACTACGTATGCAAATTGGAAAGTAAAATTAAGGCCCGTTCTTTAATTGGAGGATGGCATGGGGTGCAACTTCTGAAGACAAGCAAAAAAGCTGCAAGAGATAAGCAAGCAACATTTGACTTTTTCTTCCGCTAACGATATCCTGGTAATGCACATAACTAGCTAGATAACATATATCTTCAGGCCATTCATGCCTGATCCAATATCCATAACTTGTTTATACATACTCATGGAACCAAAATAGCCAAGTAATTCAGAGAGAGAAAGAGAGAGAGAGAGAGGATGAGAGAGCTACAGTATTGACTTTGTATAGGTGATTAATGAAGTTTCCAACGCCTATGCACAAGCGTGGAGTTCGTGATGACGACAATTATACATTAACATATATACTTCTCATGTAATCGCAATATTATAGGGGATATCAACGCAATTTTTGACTCTCGCGTCAAAGAGAAGCTTTTGCTCGATGACAATTATAATACATCTGGTAATGATAGGTAGAACTTTTAAAACTAAATTTGCAAAACAAATTATGTGTCACCAATAGAAAATAAGCACGTTGAGTGGCTCAATATTTTACTCACTAATAACGAGCTAATTACTCAAAAGTGGTTATATAATATTATTATTTTATGTGTCATAATATATGGTTGATACCTAATGAATTTAATAGTATGATTTTAGTTATAAATAAAACAATTATACCATGCGACAGTATGATAGTAAACAAAAATTAATCAAAAAAAAAAATTCAAAATATTAATTTAACCATACATTCTTCATGGTGATCATGGGCTGGTGTGATAGTACTGTAGCTTGTAAATATCCTTTATCAATATAGAAAATATTATATTTATACCACATGATGGTATGATGGTAAAAAAAAAAATCAAAAGAAAAAAAATTCAACCATGCATTCTTCATGGTGATCATGGGCTGGTGTGATAGTACTATTAGCTTGTCAATATCCTTTATTAAGATAGATTTATGGTTCGTTAATCACGCCGGCGACTCAGGTTCAGTCCCAAACAGGTCACAACGAACATATACTGGACAAGTACAGCAAAGGTGGAAGAATTTGTTGCCATGGCCAGTTGGCCACACATGAACTTTGGCTCAGGTGTTTCACATACGTACGCTAGCTAGCTTGGTTATCCTTTCGTATGAGATAATTGGGAGTTGTGTTGGGGCTAAAATTAGGGAGAGATTTTTTTAGTATGATCGTAATATGGGATAGTATGTCACATAACACATAATTAAAGAGAAGTTTCTCAAGTGATTTTTCAATATTATAATGACATGTAACGTATTTCAATCAAACTGAAATATAAAATTAGGATGCATGAACCGTGGTGGTTTTGCGATTTGAACCCTACATGTTACATTACATATTTTATAATGACCACATTTTTTTGCCATCAATATCCATCACCGCGCAGTTCTAATGCATGATGTGCTCTGAAATATGATCCTCTAGTATGAATCTGAATTTAATATTTTATCATGTGGGCCTAGGGAAAAAAATCAAAGCACCTCAAAAATCGTTTTATATGGTACATGCCTTTTTTTTTTTTATGAGTTAGGTATCATATATGCGACATTTTTCTTATATCAGATAATGATTAGAATTGTCGTTTATAACTTTTTTTTTACTAGTAAGCTACACATTAAGTCTATCATAAACTCTAGTCAATATTATATATACTTCATCGTTATGTATACAAATCGAATCAAAACTTTTCACTTAATTACTATATACTTCAATAATAGTACCATTAAAAGACAAACTTGTATATATAATATAGTTCAAGTTGGAAAAGAGCTGCATTCATCCAAAAGAAGGAAAGAAAAAGAATTAGGGCTCTTTAGTATTGCATGACTAAATTGGGTGTGTTTGGATAAGGAGAATGAGAATGTGTTCCTGATGAACCCTTTGTTTATTACTCAAGAGGAATGAAAAGTGTTGCAGGTTCCTCCATAACTTTGGAACTGGAATGAAAAGTTTCATATCTAAACTACCCTCACATTATTTCTTGAATCACGAAAATACCCTTTTTGCTATGGACAAAAAAACAATAGAGCTGCTCTCTATCTTTTTCATTTTTTCTACCGCGCGCTGCTCTCTCTTCTTTTTTTCTTTTTTCTTTTTTTCTTTTTAATTTCTTGTCTCTCTTCTTCTATTTTACTTTTTTTTTTCTACAACCAGCTTGGTTGAATTCTATTGTGTCAATGATGTGCAAAACACGAAGAGGAGATTAACACAAGCATAAGTTTATATATAAAACATTTTTCTAGACAGTTTTCATCTAATTCGTACATACCCTGATTCTTACTTACTCCGATTCTTAGATAATAAATATACCCTAAACACTTAGAAATTAAACAGGCTAAGCAAGCTATATATGGGGTCGTATATATGGACAACCCTTTTGGTTTTAGTCAGTTTCCGTATGAGGGAAGGGGCAACCCTTTCTTGACCTAGCTATAACATATAACATGATCGCCCAATTATTATTATATCCTCCATGCATGCATGCATGTTATTTTCTTATTTGCAATAGTTGATCGATTGACCATGTGTAATAATCGTTAAGGAAACGTTAGTACACCTATTTGTGTAGCTAAATGGTTATTGAGATTGATATAACTCCTTACTTTGGTAGATTTAAAACAGATAGAAGTGGTCCCTGATATTGTCTACCGTCAATCATTTTGGTCATCCTATGAAAAATCTCAGTTAAATTAAGGATATTTTTGTCAAATCAACTCTTCTACTCGAACTAATAACAATTTAAGTGACCATATTACCTCAAATTATATTGAAAAACACCGTTATCAGCGCATTAATATGCCTTAGTTGGCTAGCTCTTGTTTGCCAAATTATTCTCAGAGTCAGAGCCAATCTTGTCCATTCTTATCATCAAATGACTTAAAAATTGTACATCAAACTGATATTGTTAATTGCGTTAAAGGCTTAGATTAAGATTGCAAAAACATAAGTTTTGTGATATGAATGTCAAAATATTGTCCAAAATGTTACATTCTCCATTTTTCAGCTTACTGTGAAAGACCTAATAATCCAACAGCTGAAAAATCGTTTTTGTTTATAAAATTGATTTCCTAAATAGTTGAGCCAAAAGCCATGAGAGATTGTAATTGGAAATCAAATCAAATCATACTGTTTGAACAATACTTATTTATTTATTGGTCACTATTTTTACGGTTTAGTGGTAGTCTCTGTTACCCTTACTTTGGTTGGCTCAAACAGTGACAAGTTGTCATACTATTAACTTGGCTCAGCCGCATTAAAACCTGGCTGAAACAACCTTTTTAACTTATATGTGAGAGGTCTAAAGTTCGAATTGTATTGATAACAAATTCGATACCTAATTATGATTGATCTATTGAATTTTATAACCCAAAAACTTTATCGTTGTTGCCATTGTGTATATATGGTCTAATGACCTAGTGGATAAAGTGTTGGACTTTCACTCATGCGTGCCGGCCGGGTGTGAAACTCCCAATTCTTCTAAATTATTGATAGTTTTGAATACTCCATCTCCCTCTTAATAATAATAAATTAAAAAAAAAAACCTTGGGCCTCAGTCTTGTTGGGCTTCTTTGTCATTTCGTATGCTTATTGGGTTGGGCATTTGAGTTTCGATCTTGTAATGTAAGCTCAAAACATAGGCCCAAAAGACCGGGGCTCCCCGCTCTATGGCTCGAAATGACGCCGTTACCTTTTACACGTCCGTTGACAAAAAGACAGTACTTCAGAAAAAAAAATATTAAAAAAATTAAAAAAATTTAAGGAGGAAGAAGAAGAATTTCAGAGCTCGTCAAACAACGAAGGAGGTTTTACAATTTCCATGCCGTAAGCTTTCTGCAAGATCATTCCTCAGGTACGATCCAAACTCTCTTGAATCCCCTTCAATTTATTCCCAGTTATTTAATTGTATTTAGTTTATGCTAATCACTGATTAATTAGTTCATCCGAATAGGAATATTCGTGATTTCATATGCAAATCCTGTTGTTTTAATTTTTATATTTAATTTTTGGGGTTTTTGGCAGATTTTTGAGGTGGATTTTGATTAGTGGTGAGAGTGAGTGAGGATGGTGTTGGTGTTGGCCTTGGGGGATTTGCACATACCCCACAGGGCACCTGATCTGCCTGCAAAATTCAAGTCCATGCTTGTTCCTGGCAAGATCCAGCACATCATCTGCACTGGAAATCTTTGTATCAAAGTATGTTTCTTTGTGTGTTTCTGTTGATTCTCATTGATTTCCTTCAATTTTGGTTATTGGGTTTCGATTAATTCCCAAAGTAATATTTGGGTTAGTTTTGCTGTGTTTTTCTCTGTTTGGCTGCCCAGAAAGTAAAATCTTGCATTTAGGAAAGGCATTCCGAATGTGGGTTATTGTTGAACTTAGTGCATGTTGCACTATAGACTTTGGATTAAGAATAATTTAAAGAAATCAATGTCAATCGGATACAATTATAGGAGATAGTGAGCATCAAACCGTGTGTTTATTTATTTTGAACGTGAAGAATTTCTTGTTACCGACTGCTTGATTGGGTAATGTCTGCATATAGCATGTTGCTATTTGGATAGAACTTTCATTTGGTTAATTTGTACATTTACTCTAACATCTATTACTTTGCCAGTTATTGCTAGTATCTCCTATGTTTTTCATCGTCTCCGCTTGGTCTTCAAGTATTGTAATTGCTCATGCAACGGCTAATAATCTACTTTTAGTTCTTGTAGCACTACTACCATATAAATAAGTTTCTTAAGGTCACATTATTTTGGTAGTACATTATTCCACTTCTCATAGTTTGCTACTAATAATTTCAGGAAGTTCATGATTACTTGAAGACTCTTTGTCCCGACTTGCATATTACTCGAGGTGAGTATGATGAAGAGACAAAGTATCCAGAGACCAAAACTCTAACAATCGGTCAGTTCAAGTTAGGGCTGTGCCATGGCCACCAGGTTGGCTTCTCCTTTATCTCTTCACATATTTTTATCTATCATTGAGCATTGCAAAACTATGTATGTTTTAATACCTCAAGACTTTGCATTTGACCTGTTACCAAGCAGATGATCATTACTTCTCCTTGCCCTGTTAAATCTCTTGTCCTCTCTACAGCAAGTCGTTTCCGGTTATTTGGATCAACTACGTATGCTGATATCAGTCCCTTACCCCCAGGACACGTTTCCTGTTATTGTATAAGCTTACGCTGTCAATGCCTTCAGCATGAAGCATATTACTCTTCTTGCGGTTTAGGAAAAAACAATGATAAGTAATACTTGAAAGGTGTTCTGTGATAATTTCGAAGAGATCAATAATAAGTTGCATTAGTTTATCTGTTTATTCTACCTAGAGAAGTTCCATCAAGAGTAGAAAAAATGTAACTTTACCTCCTGAAAATTGTTGAGTTGGTACCTCTTTTGAATAGGAATAGGTGTACTGCAACCATATCTTTTTCCTTTTGTAGCTGAAACAGTTGCTGCCTTTGTGATGAATGGAAGTAGTTCATGTGGTTATTTGGAACGAGGCTATTAGATGTAGTACTGCTTTCATGGGAGAAATTTGTGTCAAGGATTTTCCTTTCCTTTTGTATCTTCATTTTCACCGAGCAATAATTACGTTGTAACTTGATATGATGTTCTGTAGGTTATTCCATGGGGAGACCTAGATTCACTAGCCATGCTTCAGAGGCAGTTGGATGTAGATATCCTTGTGACAGGCCACACCCATCAGTTCACCGCATACAAACATGAAGGAGGTGTCGTTATAAACCCAGGGTCTGCCAGCGGCGCTTATAGCAGCATCACCTATGACGTCAACCCGAGCTTCGTCCTCATGGACATTGATGGTCTTCGTGTGGTTGTTTATGTCTACGAACTCATTGATGGAGAGGTTAAGGTTGACAAGATTGATTTCAAGAAGACAGCCGCTGCTACCCACTCCGCTCATTGAACTCGAATTTCATGTACTGCTTTGGTATTGACTTCGGATACGTGTTCTATGTTTGTAATTTCGTCAAATGGTGCAAATTCTGGTTTTATAGTGGTTGACCATAGGAATGTTTTCTATGTTGACCTTTGCAGCAAAACTTATAATTTGTTTGCTTGTATGCCAAACATCCTTGTTTATGGAAATTTTGGTACATAAACAAGATTTTAACCTCAAAATTTCTTGAATGGCAAGAAAAACAAAAGGGAACTCCAATGTTATCTCATTGTATAAATTGACATATGAAACCGTTACGAACTTTTAATCAAAAACAAAAGGGGATGAATCACTAATACTACAGTTTAGTGGTATTTTCTTCTTTTACTTGTAAGTAAGTGTCTTAGGTTCGATACGAACACTTAATAAACAATAAAGGGTGCTAATCTACTTATATACGACTTATTGTATGTTCAATCTAGTTCTAAAACCCCCAATCTGCTTATATACAACTTATTGTCTGTTGAGTTTAGTTCTAAAACCCCCAATCGACTTAAAACTCAACTACTTAAAAGGGTTCCCAACATTTTGAATGCCCCAAATTTCATCATATGTTCCCGAAACCATCCGTCATCAAATCAAACTACAAACCATTTGATGAAAACACAAAGACAATCTCCATCAAATCCATGCACAAATAATCACCACAGGCCTCGTCCACAAGCCTTCTGTAGCAAGCAAACGCGTTGCATATTTTCCTCAATTCCCCTGCTGGTCACAAACTTCACCGCCCGCTCGATCGCCAACGGAGTTAAAAATCTCGATTCGTACACCTGAAACACCACCATCCGAGGTTACTTGGCGCGGGAAACCAACCAAGAGAACCCCTTTTGGTTTGTTCCCATGTCAGAAGCAAGGGTCTGGAGGTTGACAGTTATACCCTTCAGTTTGCTATCAAGGCGTTCTGCCTTATGCCATTGGTTCTTGAAGGGAAGCAGTTACATAACCAGGTTTTGAAACTGGATTTTGGCTCTGAGATCATAATTCAGACTGCCCTGATCAATATGTAAGGTTTTTTCGGCGAGCTTGAATGTATGCGCAGCGAGTACAACAGCCTGGTCTGTAATATCCAACATGCTTTCGCAGGCATCGGTTCCCTACCAAGTTCAGCCGTTCCATGATCCAGGTGATTTCTACTCGCGCTCATGAAATCACCTGTCACCTGAGAACACAAACCAGAAGACTATTCAGGATGGTAGTGCATCTTAAAATTGAAGAAGAACAGTTGTTGGAGGACCAAGAGCAACCGCAAGTTGATGATCATGTGTTGCAGTTTGAGCGGACAAAAAGTAAAGCAACTGAGGAGTTAGAGAGGTTAAAAATCGAAGACTGCAGGAAGCAATGCTTGATATGTTTGGGAGAGATTCTGCGTGGTTCTGAAGCGATTTGCATGCCTTGCTCGCACAGCAACCAGGAGAGTTGTATAGTGAATTGAATGAGTTGGAGACGAGTAACCTCTGCGGGTTGTGCCGGTTTGAGACCGATGCCTGCTGAATCCTCATGACAAATTGTTTGTAGCTAGTTCTTAGAATTTTTTTTGTAGAATGTGATCAAACTCTTATCGGATTATTAATCGGCGGATTATGTTCTTGATGTGTATAGGAATTTCCATTACTGAGACATGTAATATTCTTTTCTTCATTCCTCTTTCTTGATCTTTTTTTTAGTACAAGTTGTTGGAGAAAAGTTTGGTATCAAATTTTCTGGCTGAGTTTTCGTAGCAGCAAATTTGGTGCATTGTGAGTACTCCTTCCCCTTATTGGATTGACGAATTCCAGGTCTTCGACTCAATCGAGTCATTAAACATAAGTTGACCGTCTAACAACATAACATGTTAAACCAATAATAATGACACAAATTTCCGCCCCGCTTAATTTATTAACTAAGACTGGTTTTTGCGAACACATCTCTTCAACTACTCGATTTCTAAAATGCTATCTCTATGCAGCTGTAAATCTGTAAAGCATAACATGATTAAGTCTCTCCGGCTTTCGTGACCTGCGGAAGGGCAATTCGGGTGATTCACAGCATCCAGAAAACCATCTCCAAGAACACCGCAGCATGTTTTTATTTTTTACACAAATCCGCCTTTAATTTCCCCCTCACTTTGTCCGACATGTTACTTGCATAGAACTGCAGCACCGGCATGTTAGTCCGCAGCTCCAATTTTCGGCCTTACAAACTATCACGCAATGCTGCTGCCTTCCTCTAACGCTTGTGATTTGTAGGGTTAACCACATAGTTAACGTCATATCCATCCGGCAGCTCATTGATCTTGCTACCGGTTTCCTGGGGCTCAAGGAATCGCGCAGGGTGTTCCTTTCACAGGGACAACTTCACCACTGGGGATGCGTTAGTCATGAACCGGTGTGACCTTGGACCCAAAAAGCTGGATCTTGTGCAAAAGGATGTCACCGCTGTTCGGACAACCAAAAGCACTTCTGACTATTTTTGACAGTACAACTTAATAGCGCTTCTTGAATTTATAATAAAATTTCACATGCTTACACGTTTAACGTAAGCGCTTACGAGCAGAAGTGCTTTATGCGTAAGAAGTCGCATACAAGACATCTTAGATTCCAAATTTAATACTAACTTTGACTCTTTTGGTTCGGTTGCTTTAGGGTTTTAATGTGGTTTTATTAAGAAAAGAAGTTACAAGATTTGAGTGGTTAAGTATGACAAGGACATAACAGTCATAACGACACTAATAGCATTGTTTTGCCTTAACTTTGAAGTCACTCCTTTCCTTAAACCACCAGGCCTCGCAAAGCCAAAGCCGAACAAAATTACTAAAAGGTACACACAGTATGTATATTACTAGTCCCCCATTAAGCTTTTCTCTAAATTTCTTCTTTCTTTGTCCCTTTAACTTCTCTCTACTTCTTGTTCATATTCTTCAAAGATGTCAAGCAACAGAGCCTTTGCCAGCTGTGAAGTGTGGCAGGAAGGAGGCGAACTCGCCGACGACAGTTCCTCGACGAAACCCGAGTTCTTGATTGATATGTATGCTCAATTTTCAAGGTACCCTCTAAGCTTCAAGGAGCAATGCCACGTTCTAACAGAGAGCAAAACATCCTGGTCTGTAATATCCAACATGCTTTCGCAGGCGTCGGTTCCCTACCAAGTTCAGCCGTCCATGATCCAGGCGATTTGTACTCGCGCTCGTGAAATCGCCCGTGATCCTGAGAACAAGAACCGGAAGACTATTCGGATGGTAGTGCATCTAACAACTGAACAAGAACAGTTGTCGGAGGACCACGACCAAACGCTTGTGCCGCGGACAAAAGGTACACCAATTGAAGAGCTAGAGAGAGTCAAAATCGAAGTCTGCGGGAAGCAGTGTGTTATATGTTTGGAAGAGATGCAGCGTGGTTGCGAATCGATTCGCATGCCATGCTCGCATGACTACCACGAGAGTTGCATAACGAATTGGCTGGAGACGAGTCACCTGTGCCCGCTTTGCCGGTTTGAGTTGCCTGCTGCATCCTTGTGACAATTTTTGCAGCTAGTTTTTAGAAAATTCTATGAAGAATAATGTGATCAAACTCTTATCGGATTATTAATCGGCGGATTATGTTCTTGATGTGTATAAAATTCTCCATCACTGAAACGTGTAATATTCTTTCCTATTTTTTATCTTTTTCCCTTTTTGTACAAGTTGCTGGAGAAAAGTTTGGTGTCAAATTTTGGCTGAGTTTTGTTACCAGCCAATTTGGTGCATGGATTGGTTGGTACCCTTTCCCCTTGTTGATTGACGACAGAACTACCTACCCAAGTTTCACATCTTTAACTCAATCGAGTCATTTAACGTTATAAAATTGACTGTCTAACAACATAACATGTTATATTAGTAATCAAATAAATTTCTGCAGAGCTAAATTTACTAAGACCAATTTTTCCAAATGCGTCTCTTAAACTACTGGATTTCTCAAATGCTAGCTCTAGGAAGCTGTAAACCTTTAAAGCATAAGATGCAAATAAGTCTCTCCAGGTTTATGACCCGGGAAGGGAAATTTGGGTGATTCACAGTATCTGGGAAACCCTGCGTCTCCAAGCACACCGCGGCGTGTTTTTGTACACGATCCGCCTTTCCCCTTCACATTGTCCAACATGTTACTTGTGTAGAACTGCAGCCCTGGTATGTCGGTCCACAGCTCTAGTTGTCGCCCCTACACACTGTCATGCAACGCCGCTGCCTTCCTCAAATGCTTGTGACTCAGAAGCCTCGAAGGGTCAAGCGCACAGTTGATGTCATATCCGTCAGGCAGCCCATTGATCTTGCTTACAATTTCTTGGGGCTAAAGGAACTCATAGGGTGTTCCTTTCATAAGGACAGTTTCACCTGTGGGAATGAGTTGGTCATTATCCGGTGTGACCCTGGACCCAAAAATCTGGATCCTGTGCGAGAGGATGCCGCCACTGCTTTGCCCGCGGATATTCCAGTGGGTGTGGTGGGCTAGGTTCACCGGAGTGACCTTGTTATGAGCCTTGGCTTCCATCCTAATAGCAGAAAAATGTTACTCTTGGTTACTTTTTTGACAAAGCGATATTCTGAACTACTTTAACATATGGAAAAGGGAACTCAAACTACGCATACTGCCTTGACCAACTGGCCTAACTCACATATCCAATCTGTAAATTACAAAATTACCAAATATAATAGTTTAAAATCTATTTTTGGAATGTAATTTACAACAATACAAACTAATCAAAACTCACTACTTATTTATGTACCAGAAGCTACAGAAGAAATCCAAATATATATTTTCCAAAGTAAAAATATGACAATTATGTCAATTCGATGGAGGTTTGAGCCCCAAGTGCAACCTTGATGAAGACATCCTCCAATGTGGTGTCGGCTAGACCCCAAGCGAAAACTGTGAACCTGCTCTTTGCATTCTCAACTGCTTCAAACACATCTGCAATTCTGACCTCGTGTTTTGGCAACTCAAACTTCTGGGTTCCGGATAGATGGTATATCCTGTTAGCACTTGGGGAGAGACTCCGCACCATGTTCTCCACCTCTTGCTCGTGATCCGAAGATGTTGTCATTGTGAACACATAAAATCCTCCATATCTTGCTTTCAGCTGAGTACACCATTATAATAAGTTAACAGAGTGTTATGCAGAAAGTATCTAGGAAAACCGATATCTATCTTATGCAGGTGCTATGACACTAAGTTAGGATTACCTCTTTCGGGTTTCCAATGCACTGCAAGCTACCATCCACAAAAACTCCTAAGCGATCACACAGAACCTCCGCCTCTTCCATGGAATGTGCTGGAGATACGCAAACAAGCTTTATGAGTAAACACAGAAGCAAAAGCGGTCATTATGCTGTTACTTAACACTACTCCATACAGTACCAAGCCTCATAGATTTTATAATTGGCAATACAGTAACTGGAGGGGAGGAAGGGAGAGAGAGTACTGGTTAGGATGATTGCCCGGCCTTGTTTTGCACGCTTCACAACAGTCCATAAGTTGTTTCTTGAAGCTGGATCAAGTCCAGTACTGGGCTCATCCATGTAAACAACCTACAAGGAATTTGTAAAGGAACATGGAATAAGTAGAGCAGCATATTGGGATAACAGATCTAACTTTCGAGCCAAAGTAGCTTTGACAGAGAACGAAGGCGTACTTTGGGATCCCCTATAAGTGAGATTGCAACACTAAGCCTTCTCTTCATGCCTCCACTGTACTTTCCAGCTTGTTTGTCTGCAACCCCGCCGTGAAATAGATTGACACTTTTCAAAGATTCTTCCACTGCCTTCAGCAACAAAATTGGGACGTGAAGCAAATCAATTAAACTTAAGATCTTATTCTCAAAATAATAATTTCGATCGCTATTTCTACACTACTAGATATCTACTTACTTGTTTTAATACAGAACCTTTGAGGTTCTTAAGTCTTCCATAGAATAACAGATGCTCCCTTCCCGTCAAGGTTTCCCATAGCAGGCTACAGAAATGTCCGGAAAAACAAGAATTTAATCAGGTTTGAAATATTTAAGGAAAACTTTGCCTTAAGCATAAGGGAAAAGTTCCAGCAGCTTACTCATGCTGTGGACAAACACCCATGCTGGTGTATATTTCATCCATCTGAGTCCGGATGTCCATACCTTGAACGTATGCAGTGCCAGAGGTTGGCTTTGTGAGACCAATCATCTGCAGAAAGATAGATACATATAACATTTGAAGTTTTGAAGAACAAGAAAGCATAAGATTGAAGGCGATTTCTTGATGTACAAAAATACTGGGTAGCACACAAATATGATCCTCACCAGCAGAAGAAAAATATGTTAAAGGAATTTTCACGTACGTAAGTTAAAGTTCAAAAGGGTATACTCACCATACTGATAAAAGAGGTCTTCCCAGCACCATTAGGGCCAAGCATACCAAAGCACTCCCCTCGAGACAAAGCAAGAGACAACCCTCTCACAGCAATTTTTCAGGGTTTCCGTCTCTTCCAGGATAAACCTTTTTGAGGTTGTCGCAGATGACTGAATGCGTTGTATCTGAACCCAGTAGCAACTTTTCAACCCTCTCCCTCTGGAAAGGAAGTGTTAGCGTTATCCACGGGCATAACTTAGACACATCAACTTGACTAGGATGAAAAAAAAACATAAAGATATGACAGGCATGGATGAAGCAAACACCAGTGAAACTTATAAGCGTCAATAAGAAGAATAAGGTGAAATTTTATCTATCCGCCAAAATGATCTGAAAAGTGCTTAGAACAATTTGTACCATATAAACTGGCTTTTATTTTTTTTTTTCATAGACTGGCTTTTCCAGTGTGTTAATTGGATGCCTTAATCTGATTATGTAAGTGCAGGAAACAGTTACCTCTTGAACGACATCAGGTTTCTCCATCTCAACAGAAACTTTAGATCCCTGCCTTTGCAAACTACGCATCCTAAGGGATGGCAGTTTCTTCTTCGTAAAGCGTTGGAAGCAAAAGAAAGTACCCTTCCCAGTTCCTGATGACACAGCTTGATCTACGTAATATGCAAAAAGAAGCACCACAAACCACTCGACAACCATGATAATCAAAACCTCCGCCATCCCATTATCGCTGTCACTCAAATCTCCCCACCGCATCCCATCAGTCCCCATATAGTTTCCATTAAACGAATATTGGGCAAACTCATATAACCCACGATATAGAGAGAAGCCGGGATATAATTCCAGAACGATGATCCAACCTCCTACAACAATGCAAAATAATATTTTAAGGATCTGGCTTTGAGAAGTATAAGATATGTCGCATACTATAAGTTTTCGACATGAAATAGTTCTCACAGAAACAAACACATCAAAGCAACAAATACTTCATTTTCACAAATATTTTCACTTACTAGGGAATGATGTATCTTGAACAAAAAATTGAAAAAGAAAGGCTCCCAAAAGCCCAGTTCCAAAGACAAATATGTAACCAATAACTGTTATGAACAGGAAACATGAGAAGCATGTCAATCAACTCATCTTGTTAGATCAAAGCTGAGAATAACCCACTACTTTTCAAACGAATATAAATAGACACCATCAAACCTGCAGCAGTCTTCACGTCTGAAAACAATGCAGCTACTAGAAAAGCCAGCGATATTTGCAAGTTTATATAGATGAAGTAAAATACAAATTGGATGCTGTAGTCATTCATTGAGAAGAATTTTAACCCTGTAATGAAGTCAACTTCGTTAAAAGAATCGAAGTAAATCCATGCTGAGATAGTTGTCTGAGTAGTCGTATTCTTACCTATACCCGAGCCAAATATAACAAAGCACAGCATGTAGATTGAAGATATTGTAAAAAAGTAAGTATAAGAAATCATCCAATAAGGTCCATCACCGAGCCCATGCATTTTCATCATGATTCTCAGTTTCTGTTGTTTCTCGTAGACCAGGGACGTCAAAACAACCTATAGCAGAATTGGGCAAGAAAGGGAAACTATAAGTGTGTGTATCGTAGATCAGCATTTCTCTGTAACATACAGGACAATATGGAACAAAGGACGTAAATTTAGCAGAATCAATGTCAACAAACAGGACTGATAGACTTGAGAAAGTCCTAATATGGAAGAAGTAGCTTCATGTACTTACCGGGAACAGCTGTAAAATGACCCATGTAAAGAAGAGTGTACCAAGAAGAGAAGAAAAATCCAGCCTGAGTTTGGTTTCAGTCTTGGGCATTTCTTTCACAAACTCAAACAGCATCTCCATACCAGATCCTTGTACAGACTGAAGGTATGCATTGGATGCCTGCGAACACAAACGTTAGCACTTATTATTTTAAAGTCATTTAGTGCAGATACTGTGATCGGTAGCAGAAAAGAGCGCTGAACAAATAAACAAGTTATAGATACATTACCAGATTCACTGAGCGTGGAAGGCGCAACAAAGCAATAGGAGCACTGCCTGTGTCATTCTTAAAGGTTGAATTGTACCATATGCTTACATTAAAATTGTTCTCATTTGAGTTAGAGAAATCATAGGCTGAAAAAAAAAAAAAAATACCCTGTCGGTATTCGCGCCTACAGTATAGTTATACATCAAATCAATCAACACAGCTAGATATATGAAGTCGATAACCTGAAAGTATTTCATTAATCTTCCTCTCTGAATTGCTCTTTTTGTAACCTTTATAGAGCTCACTGTTTATCTCAGAGGAACTATTCCGCCACAAATGTAAACCTTGAACGCATCTAACCTCTGGGTTTAAGGAAAAAATCAAAGACAAATATTTAAGGTGGCATGCAACAATAAATTAAACTTTCAAGTGGATTGAACAAGCAATCTTCACTCAAATGAATGCACCGCGGATGTGCACCAGAGAGAATTAAAGCATCCTAAGATATATCATAGATAAAGGGTAAAGATATTTTACCTTGTTGGATCTCAATGGATGATATGTTATATAGAACAGAATATATAGAGTTTTGTGGGCATTGGCTCTGAACAATATATAGGGGAAGATCCCAATAGAAAGCCGGATCAAGGAAGTTGGAATACTCAGGCATCGATTCTGAGCCCTGAAACATTTCATAAAAAAGTTTCTTCATGAAACATTTAACAAGAACAAAGTAATGTATGATACTTGAGATGAAAAAAAAGAAATAGAACTTCAATACAACAGGAAAAAGTAGCAGCGTAGAGAAAAAAATAACTTACTGAAGCACTACGGGCTAAATAATCCGGATCAGATGAATTCAGAGTAGAAGAACTTCTGAACATATTCCCAGCCAAAACTATAAGAACGCAAAGAAAACGGTCAGCACTATTATACTAAACCGAAAAAGAAACTCATTCCAACAAATACTGATCAAAATAAGTCATAAGGTGAAACTAGTAAAATACAAAATTGACATACTAAAACACATTCCTGAGAGAGATTTAGAGGACAATACCTTCTCCAAGAGATTGATTTTTCCCGTGAACAGTACAGTTACAGGACAGGATCCTGTCCTCTTACAAGACTCACTTGGCAAGTCTGTATATGGAATACCATCAGAAATGACGGCTCGATATTTAGGAGCTGGCACTTGTAGCAATGGAGGCCATTGTGGAGGATCAGGAATGGGGCAACTGGTCCCTTGTGTTAAACTTGAGTATTCCAGTCCACAAACTTCCTCACACTTACCATCGCCGTTTGTATCAATACAACTGCAACCACACCTGTTTTCGGCCTTATCCAGTTCATTGTTGACCAATTTTTGGACGAGAACGAGCATTAGACACAGGAGAATTGGAAATGAAACTAGCCGAATATTCTGTTTGATATTTCTTTTCTGCATAAAAGAATACAATATGGTATCAGTCTGGAACAAAGTTGAATGACAAGCTTTTTTTATTCAATTTTCTTCGACTTTGTTTCCATTTATTGGCACGGTTGATTGTTTTAGAGCGCAGAATCGTCATCAGATTTTATACAAAGCATTATTTGTAGAATTCACAAAACCAGGATGACCCAATTTACCGTTGCTCATATACAAGAAAAACAGCTTATCAACACAAAAAACGAATAATCTGGTACAAATTAACCAATAATTTACAAAACTAAAACGAACCCTGAAAGTTAAAATGTGGGACAAAGTAAAAAGGAAAAGATAAACGCTTGATCAACAAGCAACCAAGAATCTCCAACATATGTGCCAAAAAAAAGAAAACAAAAGGGGAAAAGAAAAGAATGAAAACCCAGAATTCTTCATCGATTTCTTAATTATTTCTACAATTTTCCTCAGTTTTCAAACATCAAACTCTAAAAATATTCACAAACAAGAAGAGAGAAGGGAGAGAGACCTGGAAAGTTAGGTTCTTTCTGAGCAGAGCATTGGCCTGAGTCCAGAAGCTGGCAGGCCCATGGGATGTATCCGCCATCGAACTACTTCCACTGCTTGGCAAGAAATGAGACCGTTGATCTCAACTTCCAAAACAGTAAAACCCCAGAATTCAAATTTCCCACTAAAAATTAAAACTTTGTCATCTCATTGCTGCCACCTTTCCCCTCTGAGAATCTGCTGCTAATCTGCTCCGCTGCTGCCGCTGCAGATACGATATGGGCAACTGGAATTTGGAAAGGACGCGACTTTTTGCTATTACATGCGCTGCAGTAGCAGCAGATACGATGCTATATAGGTAAAAGAGTCAAACGAATCCGAAATAAACCAAACAAAATTAAATTTTCTAGGCCGCTGCCGTCTGCTGATCCATGTTCCCTTCGCTGAAAGTACCATCCTGCCCTTTTACCGCGTTTTTTGACTCTTCTTATCTAAGATTATCATAAATACAACGAAATATAAACTAAATTAATAAGTTAAGAGATCAACCAACTACGAAGAACCAAACCAACCAAGTATTTTTCTTGGATCTTGTGGGTTGTGATAACATCAAATCAATGGACGATGCTTCTACGGCTAGGATAAATTTTTTAGTATGTCGGAAATGCAGTCCAGTATATTGATTGGAAATTTATTTTTTAACTTTCTGACTAATTATATTAATACACTTGGTATATTAGGTCGTATTCCTAACACACATAAACTTTTCTTTGCAATGAGAAAATTGGTCAAACAAATTCTCATATAAAATGTAGTTTCTTGTTTGACAAGATATGTAATATATTATATAAAATAAAAAGTTTGATATGAATTGCACTCTTAGTATTTATGATTGCATTGCCAAAATTTAATATGTTTTGAATCAAACTAAGGTTTCAACCGCCACTAATGAATTTTTGCTATCTTGAGCTAATACCACTTTCGCATGCTAATAGTTTCACCAAATCACGTCCGCGCACTAATTTATCTGTTTAAGAGTGTTTTTAAAAAAAAAAAAATACTAAAAACACAATTTGACCTGTTTAAACTAACTGTGATTGTGTGTGACTTAAAAAATTAAAAGTATTTTTGAGCCATAATTAAAACAGATTTTTGGACAAGGTGCGCCTAATCTCATGTAGATACGAAGAGACATTTGTACCCGTTGTGCATGTTGAGCTAGTAACTTGAGCGCAACAGATTTTGCACGAGATCTTAATCCGCTACTCTCTTTCTTTCGAGCCTAAGCCTACATTTGCTTAGTATTGGAATGCTTTCAAGTATAGACTTTGGTACTTGTCACATGCTTTTTGAAGAAATACTTGAAACATAAGCGCTTATCAACGAAAGTGCTTCCTACATAAGCATTTTCTAAACGAGGTTTCTTTGGCTACCTACCATCTCCCAGCCTCTTTGAGGCATTTTGAACCAAAGAAACTTGAAAGTGACGCATTCTCAAGATCCCTAGTAATTCAACTCAAACTTTTCAGCAATTTAATGGAAACATATGTATTTGGGTGTTGACTGTTGTGCTGTCTTTGTTGCTTACAGTACAAGTTACTCGCAAAATTACAGAGAAATTTCACCAACATTTACTTAACTATCAGCCAATCACGCTGTCGTTACCCTTCAATCAACCCCTTTGATTTCGCTTCTGCAACGACAGTATACAATCTCGGTCGCTTACCTTGATTCCTGCATCTCAGTTTGAGTTAATGAAAGCTAACTATGGGCTGTGAAGCTACCTTCAGCAAATTCTACTGACATTACGGCTTTTCTCTTCTTCATTGTGTCCAGGTTCCGCACTTTCATTCCTCCCACCAAGTCCGCAGCGCGTCCATCAAAACTGCAAGCGTTTTTCATTTGTACAACAGTAGAATTTGTCCACAGCCCAATTTGTTCTCAAAACAGCAACTAAATCGAAAAAACGAACACAATGACGATACTTATTACACGCGAAGGCTGGAAAATGTGGTGACCAGAGAGAGAGGAGTTGTGTACGTTGAGCTTAATCTTATAAACATATCAGAGTCCTCTGCAGAATTTCCCGACATACATTTCGCATGAGGGCATGCGTTTGTCACCTTAACACAGTAAGTTCATCTCAACAGTGTGAAATTTGCTCGGGAACAAAACAATGACTTGCAATCAGAACCCGAAATGCGTAACTTCCTACCCGAAAATAATGAAAGAAGAACTCCGTACACGAAATTTGTAACACAAACTATCAAATTTGATTACTTGTTTACGCACCAGCAGCTACACAAGAAACAGAAATGAGTATTTCCAAAAGTAAAACGAATTTGACATACAAAAATATGGCATATTCATATCGATTCAGTGGAGGCTTGTGCCCCAACGGCAACCTTGATGCAGACATCCTCTAAGTCTCAGGTGGTGTCAGCTCGACCCCATGCGAAAACTGCAAACCTGCTCTTCAGTCTCAACTGCTTCGAACACGTCAAAAAGTTTAAGAAACCTTGCAAGTTGTAGTTGTGAGGATTTTGACGGACTTAAGTTACTGCTCGTATTACTAATTTGTTTTGAGGTGAAACCTTAACTTCTTCGATTTAAAAAATCCGCATATGTCAACATAAATTCAGCAAGAAACTAGAAATCAGATCATTGGAACAGGAATCCTTGCTTGTTTAAGAACATAGAATTCCACTCCTTAAGGCCCACGTAAACAATAACAATGGGGGCTATCTATAATAATAAGATGTGCTCCAAGAAATTGAAGCATTAATGCATTATTATATATTTCATCTTCCTTAAGGTTCAAGTTAATGAACAAATCTTTAGGGGCCATTTGGTATCTTTCTTGTATTTAATTTTTTGTTTTTAAAATGATGAGTGTAGCTAAATTACTACCAAGATTCTAAAAGACGTTAGGTATTAATTGGGCAGTGAGCAGGGCCCAAGCGCCTTGGCATTTAGGTAGGGTCTAGGCAGATACCTAGGTAGGTTTAGGCGTCATTTCTTAATTTTTAGAACGCCTATGAATTAATTAAAGCTATAACCGCTGCTTAGGTGTGAAGTTTTAGAGCAATGATGTAGACATAGAATTTCTCGTTTAGATGGTTTCAATAAAAAAAAAATTAAATCTAAGAAGGATACCAAATGCCCTTGGTTTTTTGTTGTAAAATATATTTTTGTAGATATTTCCTTTGTCAAACTAGATTATACAAATGATGAAGAAAAAGATTGGCGACCGGTGACCACCTCATAAAGTCACAAGTCAAAAACCACACGAAATTTCACCAATATTTCTCCCTAAATTTTGAATGGAAATTTAAACAAATTTTGCAACAAAGTTAAGACTTTTCTTATATATTTCTTTAATGAGACGAATCGTGGCACCATTTTTTCTACACAACTTTTGATGTAAATTTTTGTGAAACTGACTATGTAATATATTTTAATGATTCAAATTGTTTATTTTTTAGAATATAATTCTTAGATCATTCTTGTAAAAAAAAAAAAAAAAAAAAAAAGACAAATCCAAAATCATTAAGACATTCATTTGTAGTGAAAAAAAATGGACAAATACAGTAACAACCCTCAGCCCTTAATTCAACAATCATACAATTTCAAGTTTGGATGATTTTTGGTAAACATCATCTTCGAAAGAAGACGTAGAAGATAGACGGTTCAGATCGTTGAAATACATTTCAAAACGAGCCCTAAAAACGTGTCAAAAATTGTGAAAAGAATTGCTACCACAGACCCGTCCTTGTCCCCTTATTTAATTGCATATTTTAAATGAAAGAAATAATTTCCCTGGCATTTTTTGAGTGTACAAGTAGTGGAAGAACATGAAAGTGCACAGTATTAAGCATATCAAACATTTCAAATGATCAAGTTCACCGTATAAAGCACAGCAAACACGAAACTGCAGATAAACTGACAATCCTCTATACAATACACGCTACGATACGAATGGCTAGAAATCGCGTCACAAGACTGAATAAACCAACCATGTCTGAGACTTAATGCACGAAACCTATGATGTACATTCACTCATAAAACATCACAAACGCAGACAAATCACGCGAGGCTCTTGGCCGATGACCACAACCTTCTAAACTACAGACGCCGTTACAGTTTAACAACAATTTGAATCGCAGAATGCATAAATAGAAAACCGAGACCAATGCCTGAAACTTTATATTGAAATCGCCTCATCAATCACCTTCTCCATCCTGCTTGGGTTACCTTTCCTGCAAAAAGCAAACAATATTCAAGGCGGGGATTGGAAGCAGAAAGAGAAGATGAGATTAAAAGTTAAGGCTTCGAAGTTTTATAAGGTAAATCATCGTGCTGAATGGGAGTATATTGTTGAGATTATATGTTGAAATGGCAGGCTGTAGACTCAAGTTGTTAAAACAAAAACTAAAACAACTCGTATGTAACGAGTGACAGCTCTGGAAGATTAGATAGAATTGAAAGAAGTTCAGGATATTCTCTTAATTGTGAATCTCTCATGACCAAATATATGTCCAAACAGACTAGGGGAAAGTCAAGAATTAACCTATAAAGAACGCAAAAATCATACCATTTCCATCGCTCGAAGTTGCCAGAGGTCTGTCACTTTTAGTTCCTCCTTTGCCACCTGTTTGAACATGTCGTCGTGTCCTTGGTGAATGTGAGCTGATTTTGGCATTAGTTGCTGATGACAGAGAATGACGGCGAGTGGAGTTATTTTTGTCAGTCACATCTTGTGCCAACCTAGGGGAGCCTTGAGCTCTAAGCTTTGCCTTTGCAGATTCAGTTGCTGCCATATAACTTGGTACTGTTGGACTGCTTTGCAACCCATTCTCCGAATGTTCTTGTTTTGCTGGAGTAGAAGCTTTCCTGTTAGATTTCTGGTTGTCATTGGTTGTTAAATCTTCCTTTTGGCTCAAAACCCCGTTTGAGGATGAGATATTTTCATCCTGCCCATTGCTCTCTGTTAAAATCTTCGACTCAATTGCAGCTTCAGCACTAGGCGTATTCACATCTTTACTAGTGCTATCTGTCAAAGGCTTCGGATCTTCTGCAGCTTGATCAATATATGATATGTTAATTACCTCTTTAGGTGCCCATGGTTCAGGGATTATTTCTGTATCAGGCCGACTGGATGGAATCCAGGTTGGCTCTTTCTTAAACTTCTCGACAGAGTTACTAGTGCCTTCGACAACATCAGGAACCAAAGTGCTTGATGCCTTTTCCAAACTCTGCTTGATACCCTCAGCTTCACTTTCTGCCTGCACAGAGTTCTCTACAATGGGACTATGAACCTTCCTCAAATTACGCTTAACCTTTTCAAGCT